AGATTTTGTCCGGGCTGCCTTCCACATCTCATAGCAAGGGGGTGGAGATGCAAGGTCAGTAGACTAAACTCCTACTGACTCTTCTCTGACTTTCATGAGACATTGCTCCAATAATGCATACCCTCCTCGTGACAATACATGGGGTGCATCATTCAACCTCTGACGTTGTTGGGCAGCACATCTTTTATCCTGCCAAGAGGGGTCCATTCGGCTGGCACAAAACTGTAACCAATCCTCCTCACTAATTTGATACTTTAGATAGGGAGATTCATCTTGAAACTTTCCAAATACATACTCCCGTGTCAAGAAAGTCTTAAAGTCCCTCCATCTAATGGCAATGGAGGATAAAATCTTCTTCCTCATCACCTCAGTGTTAGGAACATCAAAATTTTGCTGTGAAATGACCAATAAATTTTAAATTCAATTAATAATGATATATAAAGTATTCAACAAATATATAAATACCTGAACATCCTGCCACATGAGGTTCTTCTCGGTTTCCTCTACATTATCCCAAGATGGAGTAGTAATCGGAATATGGTGTCGAGCTAGTAGTCCCAAATAGCTCTTAAACTTAGCAGCATTTGGGTCAGATGCCTTACCAGAACGTGGATCAACTTCAACTTGAGTTTTCTCTCTAGCTACCCTCCTTGCTGTCAACCCCTTTAACCGAGTGACAAATCTACCTTTACCTCCACTTCCGCTCCTGCCACTGCCACTACCACTACCAGTACTAGATGTGGAATCCGACATATCCTGAAAAACAAAACAATATGAAGTCAACATACTTTATAAGTTTGAATAAAAAGAACTAGAAAATGTGAAGATAAACACCTATTATGTTGGTATGTTTTCCCATATCCCTTCATCATGATCACTTCGAATTGCATGTATGTCATCAACTTCATTGTCAACTATGTCATCAAATGGTCTACTTGAAAATGAAGGTGTTTCATGTATATCTAGAGACTCATCTTCATGAATTCCGTGCATGCTTCTTCCTTCAAGGACAATTGACCATCTCTCATTACATGGATCCTTGACATAAAATATTTGTCTCGCTTGATATGCCAAAATAAAAGGTTCATCCTTATACCCAACATTACTCAAATCAACCAAAGTAAATCCTAGGTCATCTGTTCGCACACCCGTATTCCCTTCAACCCATTTACACTTGAAGACAGACACCCTAAAAGTAACATAATAAATTTCTCATATCTCTTGTATGACCCCAAAATAACTCATAGAAGCTGTGATAGGATTTTTGTCTTTAGAACTAGAAAAATGCATAGATTCAGCTTGAATTGTGACCCCACTATTCTGTACTCTACCTTTATCATCTTCTATTTTTGAGTAGAAACAATAATTATTAATGTCATACCCACCAAATGTAATGATCACTATTAGGCCCACAAGCAAGTCTCAAAAGTGTTTCTGAAACATTAATCTCAACATATACCCTTTTTTTAAACCAAGAAAGGAAACTTTTGTTATGTTCATTCAATACCCATTTTTCATTCATTCGTGGATGTGTTGCCTTTATTTCAGTTATGTGTTGTGATATGTAAGGGATTACTTCATCAGTGTTGTTCAATATGTATAAATGTGCTTGGTAAACTTCTTTCCGACTAACATTTTTAATCTTTAAATTTCGAGTACCCTTACCTTCACATCTTCCATCATGTCTCATCTTAGGAATACCTATTGGTTATGATTTTGACATGTATCCTAAACAAAACTCAATGGCTTCTTCTGCAATGTACCTTTCCACAATAGAAGCTTCTGGCCTGTACTGATTCTTCACATATCCTTTTAAGATCTTCATGTATCTCTCAATAGGATACATCCATCTAAGAAAAATTGGACCACATAACCGAATTTCCCTTACCAAATGGACTATCAAATGCACCATGATATCAAAAAATGAAGGGGGAAAATACATTTCTAACTGGCACACTATTACAATTGCTTCATTTTCTAATTCATCTAACTTTTTTGGATCAATTACCTTTTTACAAATGGCGTTGAAAAACAAACATAAACGAGTAATAGCAATTCTAACAGAAGTTGGTAAGATGTTTCGAATAGCCACTGGTAAAAGTTATTGCATCAACACATGACAATCATGAGACTTTAAACCAACTAATTTCAACTCTTGCATAGACACAAGACTCTTAACATTTGAGGAGTATCCTTGTGGCACTTTGACCTCACGTAAACACTCACAAAAGCTTCTCTTTTCTTTCTTTGATAGAGTATGACAAGCTGGAGGTAAGTAAGTGCGTTTTCCAACTGATTGTGGATGTAATTCAGAACGTATACCCATGTCTGCCAAATCTTGTCTTGCTTTTATTCCATCTTTTGTCTTTCCTTTTATGTTAAGCAATGTCCCAATTATACTATCACAAACATTTTTTTCAACATGCATCACATCTATACAGTGTCTAACTTCCAACTTACACCAATAAGGAAGATTGAAGAGTATAAATTGTTTCTTCCAAATGTTTTTCTCATTGGATTTCTTTTGGGTCTTTCCAAACACAATATTAATATTTTTCACTTGCTCATATACTTCTTCACCATTGCGTGGTACTGATGCAACTGCATTCTCCTGACATCCATTAAATGTTTTTTTCATTTTACGATATGGATGATTAGCAACTAGAAACTTTCTATGCCTATTATATGCAGTTTTTTGTACATGTTTCAATTGGATATAACTTGTGTCTTCTTGACATAAAGGACACGCTAAATGACCTTTCACACTATAACCACTTAAATTATCATATGCTGGAAAATCATTTATAGTTCAAAATAATATTGCACGCAACCTGAAATTCACTTCATGATATGAATCAAATACATCCACTCCTGTTTCCCACAACATCTTCAAATCATCAATTAAAGGACTAAGATATACATCTATGTCATTTCTTGGTTGTCGAGGTCCTGAAATCATCATAGATAACATCATATATTTTCTCTTCATGCATAACCAAGGAGGCAAATTGTAAATGATCAACAAAACTGGCCATGAACTATGTTTACTACTTAAATTTCCATAAGGATTCATCCCATCTGTAGCTAATCCAATTCTCAAGTTTCTTGGCTCTGCACCAAATTCTGGAAAGGTTTCATCAATCCTTTTCCATTGTGGAGAATCAGCTGGATGTCGAAGAAGATTGTCACATTTTCTACCATTTGCATGCCATGTCGAGTTTCTTGCATCTTCTTTTATGGCAAATAATCTTTTAAACCTAGGTATAATTGGCAAATACCATAACACCTTAGCAGGGGGACCATCTAGTTCTTCCTCACCACTACTTTCCTCAACTTTGTTTTTGAACCTCGACAAACCACATGTCGGGCACATCTTTAATTTAGCAAAATCGTTTCTGTACAATATACAATCATTAGGACATGCATGTATCTTCTTGTACTCTAAACCCATTGGACATAATATTTTCTTTGCCTCATAGTTACGAATAGGTAATGTATTATCTTCAGGAAGCATCTCCTTCAACAACGCCAATAATTCGGTGAAACTTTTATCAGTCCATCCATTTCTTGCTTTTAAAGTAAACAATTTTAAAGTTGCTGATAATCTTGTAAAACTACATCCTATGTACAATTTTTGCGCAAAATCAGATTTTAAAGAATCATATAGATGTGCTTTCATAAAATTTTCTTCACCAATATCACGTATCATATCCTCTAGATTATCATCCATCCCTTCATCAAAATTGTCTGTAGTTGACACAGTTGGGATGTCTAATATTTCTCCATGCCATGTCCATATTGTATAACTCTTAATAATACCATAAACAAACAAGTGATCACGTATATCCTCAAGTTTATGATGAATTTGATTCAAATAACGAACACATGGACAATAATATGTCCCTTTCATAGCTTTTTCATTTTCACTAGCAAATTTCAAAAATTCCTCAACTCCCTTTTCGTACTCTTCACTAATACGACGTGCATTCATCCAACTTCGATTCATATTATGTTATAAAGTTTCGTCACTCCTAGAGATATAAAAATTATATGTAAAAAGAAATTAATATACAAACAACAAAGCACGTTCCAACAACAATGGAGTGTGTAAACCGAAAATGCACTCAAACAAATAAACAAATAATTACATTCCAATAACAATCCAGTGGAGACATTCATACTATAACGTGATTGAGATCCCCAAAAACAATCACGAATTCAATTTAGACATATAACAATGACATAGAACACTAACCTCGAGTGTAGACGAAAAATTATTTCAAACTCGAATCCAATCGGGGAGAAATATCAAGTTCGTAAAATGACACACAATGTTGATGTTTTTCACTGTCAAACTGATCGAAAATGGTGTGCAGAGGTAGTTGTTGTCGTCGTTCTCGTCGTCGTTCTCAAAAACCCTGGCTGCTCGAGACGAGGGAGTGGGTTTGGGGGGAATAAAAGGGACTTTTTACGTCGCGCATCCCAGCACGCGACGTAAAAAGCACTCTTTTACGTCACACCTGGGTGGCGCGACGTAAAAGAAAGCTTTTTACGTCGCGTGCTGGGATGTGCGACGTAAAACTTTTGTCTCTTATTTACAAAATTGTTACCGCGTTTTATTTACGTCAAATATTTTTACATGCGACGACAATTGGGTGACTTTTTTTGCACTAGTGCTAACAAACCTTAATGACAATGTGTCTTTATAATATCTACATCATATAATTATATAATTCAATTCTTATATTAAATATTTGTCTTTAAATATTTGTCTTTAGACCTTAACAAGAAGGCAGTCACCTTATATAATTCAATTCTTATATTAAATATTTGTCTTTAGACCTTAACAAGAAGGCAGTCACCTTTGGGAATGGGGAGAGATAAAGGAGAACATTTTGGGAATATATCAACTTGTGTTCAAAATAATTGTAGCTTGACGCTGTAAAAATTTAAAATAAACAGAAATTTGTTTACTCGTGTTTGTAGATTAGACCTTTGTTCTATGATGCTGGCAGGAGGATCTGCGGGTGGTGGTCTCCCAGCTTTTGCCAGACTACTGCTGTTGGCAATGACAAAGTAGGGGTGTTACAGATAAAAACTGGAGCTTTTGCTAACAACTCATGGTGAAGATAGCTTCCGATGGTTGCTCGTGGTGACTCGAGGTGACTCATAGTTGCAATTGGTGGTCGTAGGTCACGACAGTGGTAATGGCAAGTTGTGCAAGACCGGTGGGTGGGTGTGTTAAAAGTTGCTTTTTCAGCAACCGATTTAATATACACGAGACTACATTATTGCCGGTGTGATCCGATGTTATATCATACTATATCAGTGGCTACAATATTAATTTTGCTACCACTTTATTTTCTACACTATATATGCACTAGTAAATTCTTTTCTAAAAAGAGTTAATCACTAAAAAAATTTCGAATGGATATAACATGTAAAGAAAAAAGTTGTTATTAATAATAATAATATTAATAATAAATCATAAATTAAATTATATATATGAATTATTTAACAAATTATATAAACAATTCTCCCTATTGTTAAATAACTTATATAAAAGATTTAAATTGAAATAACATTATTTATAAATGATTTTTTTAATAATATCTTTTTAAAATGTTCTAATTAAGTACATAGTTTATCGTAGTAATCCGCCATGAATCCTATCTGTATTAATAACAAATTATTTTAAAATTTCTAAGTCAATCAGGAAGCTACAACTTATCCTAATCTGGCAACGTCACTAACTTTAGAGGACACCTAACCAATTATGTACGTCATTATGAAAGAATGTGAAGAATAAGATACATGCTAACTACTATTTATTCTCATAAATTAAACACATACAATGTTCCACGTTGTGTGTGACTACTTTTTAGGCTTTTAGTCATGACGTAGGGCATTTAGCCACGAAGTCCTATTATAGCTAAGGCCGGATAACCCCTCAAGAACACGAGTTAGTATTAGTTTATTTAGTTAGCAGACCAGGAAAAAAATAAAGTGAAAAGTAATAGAAGAATGAAAATAATAAAGAGAGAAACAAAATAATGAAAACCTTATCCTCAATCCAGATACGCACAGCACGATGAATCACACAATATGATTGATGTACATGCACTTTGTTGATCATGATATATAGTGTCCATCACAAGGTATACACAGTTGGGTTCAACATGCTTTCCACTGTATGCACCAATTCCATTCCGAAACACAAGTCTTGTATTCCATAAAGTCCAAGTGCGATTACAAAATTTATTCTCAGAAATTCTCCATACAAGTCGATCATGATATCGATATTTGTATGAGAATAGAAGAAGGAAAAAGACAGGGAAGGTTACGTACATGGGAATTATTATATTATACAAAAGTATGAAGTTCATGAAATAGTACAAGACTTTTATATTTAAAAGCTAATGATGATGAGGATCAGGTCCTCCAGGACTCAATCGTTGTGCATCACGTTCTCCACCACCTTCTTCTGCAATTGGTAGAATGGGTGCCCAATTCAAGGTTCCATGCACGCCCCTTACTATTGTTGGGTTCAAAGGCCGTGACTCACTTCCTGCACTCAAAACCAAGACTAAGCAAATCAACTCTAAAAACCTAACCCTTCTCATAATGTTTGCTTAAGAAGATAGAAAGTAGCAGAAAGTAATGGGTGCTAGTGTAGGAAAGATTAGGCCAAACATTGGTATTTATAGTCATGAAGTTCTCCATATTTAATTTATGATATGCATAAATAAGTGGGTTGAAGTGTATCTGATGACTAAAATCTGGTTTTCTTTGCCATCCCAATAGCTGCAATTTGCCAAAGCTAGAAGGATCAACCAATGGTGCTGTGATTGATGTGTGAATCCACTTTCCTAGGCTAGCAAAATATGCAAAACCAATAGTGTGCACTTGTGAAGTTGGATTTCTATGTGCATGACGTGCCTCCAGTTAATTTATAATCACTGAAAACTTTAAATTTATATTCATACTTTTTTCCACAAAGGTTTTGTAGGTGACGACAACCTGGATTATCCTAAACACCAAAAGTTTCGAGGTAGATTGCCAATCTGACTAGATTTTGTGTCAGATTAACAAATTTAGTAAATATATTTTTTAATATTTTTAATATATGTTTACTAATTATTGTTACTTGAAGATGAAAAAACAGAAGTAAATGTTACTTAATTTAGTATAAAAATTTACTGCATTAAAATGTTAGATATTGTATAGTAAAATTTGGTGTGCTATAAATATTTATGGTTGAAAATGAGTCTTTATAGTTCACTCTAGCTTTCTTCATAGCTCATTCTAGTTAATGACGTAAAGTGAGTGATTTGGTAGTTATCTTCTTATGTCAGCAAAGCTACACATGGTGTAAAAGAATTCCATTAAAGATAGAAAGGTCTGTTATGGATAAGGAAGAAACACGCATTGAATAACAAGAAGGATTAAATTAGGTATCAATTTGTGTAGTAGATTTATATGAAAAAAACATTATTAATAATTAAATTTTCATTGAACTTATCATATTAAAAATATAATTATCATACGAAGAAAACCCCCTTTCCTGTAAGAATAATAATATTGATATTTTAATGGATGGATATCATTTCTATCTTACACTAATTGGATATATCTTTGAATGTGATGCTGCGGTGGTGGATGTAGATTAATATATAGATAATGTGGATGGAATCACCTTAAATTGCTTCTTATTGCTTTATCCTGTGTGGATAATATTTTTCATGATGCATGTGTTATCAAAATCAAGGATAAATTTTAATTTTTAATTTTTGATTTGCTTTTGCCAAAGCACTGTGGAGATTTTGTGTAACAGCCCCATACTGGCCAAATGAGGAAATATTGATTCAAGGAGCACAAAATGTGGCTGAGGAATCAAAAGATGAGCAAATGATGGAAGGCAGAAAAAGACAAAGTTAGTTATGCAAGAAGGACACGTGGAAGAATCTCCTTGGATCATGCACCCATGCCAAGGAGGTAGAAAGAAGCGTGACAACATTCGCTTGCAAGGCTACGTGCGTGGATGAGCTCACTATAAGTATGACCTCTCGGGAGGAATAAAAAGTGTGAATTGTAGTAATGAGTCCCTTCTCTCTCATCTCCCTTCTTTCTAAATTCTCATCTCTTTGGTCTGTACCTCTCTTATCCTTTTTCTTCCAATTCAGTGTAACAGAATATTGGCATTAATATCACAAGCACTATCCTGAGTGCCTCTTCATTACTGTTTCATTACTTTCTTACCGTACTAGTTTTTTTTCCTGCTACATTTGGTGCTTTCATCGACTCGGCCATGGTAGAAAACACACGTATGAAAGATATGCAAAATGAACTTAAGGAATTAAGAGAAACTGTTGCATTCTTAAGGCAAAGAGACACATATCACTTCTTGCAGAACCAACAAACAAACAAAGCTCTGGAGGATTTAAAGGAGATGCTCAGATCTATGTCCATTACTCAAACTCATCAGACTGACCCTCCACACGGGATCAAACCACCCTTTCAAGTAAGAAATGTTAAGATCGATTTTCCTAGATTCGATGGTTCTGAAGTATTATCATGGATATTTAAGGCTGAGCAATTTTTTGAATTTTATGATACACTTGATGATCATAGATTAACTATAGCTGCTGTGCACTTAGACAAAGAGGTAGTGCCTTGGTTTCAGATGATAACTAGAATGCAACCATTTCAGTCATGGAAACATTTCACAACGGCTTTAGAACTTGAGTTTGGACCCTCTCCATTTGAATGCCCAAGGTCTATTTTGTTTAAACTTGGACAAACAACCTCAGTTAATGAATATTACATGGAATTTATTTCACTTGCTAATCGTGTTTATGGACTCAGTCCAGATGCCTTGTTAGATTGTTTTATCAGTGGCCTTAAACCAGAAATTAAGAGAGATACAATTGCCCAAAGTCCCTTATCTCTGCTCAAAGCAGTTTCCCTGGCCAAACTTTATGAAGACAAATACACTTATAAGCCAAAACCTACTTACAAACAACCCACATATCAAAACCCCTCATACACATACCCAAAAATACACAACTATCAGCCACCCCTCTTACCAAACCCCCACCAAAAACCTACTTACCAAGTCACTGCAAATCCACATAACACCTCAAACAACCCTATAAAAAAAAATGACACCTGCCGAAATGCAAGTAAGAAGAGAGAAAGGTCTCTGTTATACTTGTGACGACAAGTTCACCCCCCAACACAAATGTCCCAATAGGCATTTTATGATTATGCAAGTGGAGAATGAAATTCCAGAAACTGAGGATACTATACAACCAACTGAATTGGTCGCGGACAATGCTGAACAGGAACATCACTTGTCTTTCAATGCTTTAAAAGGCAACAGTGGCTTGGGCACAATCAGATTCAGTGGCAGGATTAAGGGTCATTCTATGAGAATCCTCCTAGACAGTGGTAGCTCAGATAACTTTCTGCAACCACGAGTGGCTCAGTTTCTTCGCTTGCCAATACAACCTGCCACACAATTTCATGTAATGGTGGGTAATGGCCACTCCATGACAGCTGAAGGACTCATTCCTGATTTGGCAATTGAAGTGCAGGGTCATGAACTACACTGTCCTGTCTATTTATTACCTGTTGCAGGAGCTGACTTAATCCTTGGAGCAGCTTGGTTGTCCACATTGGGTCCTCATGTGGCATATTATAGTGCTTTACAGTTTAAATTCATGTTGAATGGCAAATTCATAACACTGCAAGGTGACATACCACCTTTACCTCAAACTGCCCAATTTCACCACATCAGGAGATTTCATCATACTGATGCTATAGCTGAGTGTTTCACTGTCCAATTACAAACTCCTGACAATGTTAAAGATGAATTCAGTGAATTTCCCAAGGATTTAGATCCTGAATTAGCTCTGCTTCTACATACTTACAGGAAGGTTTTGAACAAACCTACGGGCTTACCTCCTCAGAGATTACAGGATCATGCTATTCCTCTACTAGAAGGTTCAAACCCTATCAAAGTTAGACCTTACAGGTATGCTCATAGTCAAAAATCTGTAATTGAGCAAATGGTGCAGCAAATGTTAGAGGAAGGTATAATCCAACCAAGTACAAGCCCATTTTCATCTCCAATCCTATTGGTAAAGAAGAAGGATGGCACATGGAGATTTTGTACAGATTATCGAGCCCTTAACAATATCACTGTGAAAGACAGTTATCCCATGCCTACTGTGGATGAACTGTTAGATGAATTATATGGAGCTCAATTCTTTTCAAAGCTGGACTTGAGGTCGGGTTACCACCAGATTCTGGTCAAACCAGAAGACCGACACAAGACAGCATTTCGGACACACCAAGGGCATTATGAATGGCTAGTGATGCCCTTTGGGTTGACCAATGCACCAACTTCCTTTCAACACCTCATGAATGATATTTTTCAAACACTGCTGAGAAAATGTGTCCTAGTGTTTTTTGATGATATATTAATCTATAGTCCTACTTGGTCTGCTCATTTGCAGGACTTAGAGAAGGTGTTGAAGACCCTACAACAACATTCCCTATTTGCCAAGTTATCCAAATGTGTATTTAGTACAGTGCAAGTTGACTATTTGGGCCATACGGTGTCTTAGCATGGTGTTTCAATGGATCAAGCTAAGATTGCATCTATCTTAGACTGGCCAGAACCTCGGAATGTGAAGCAATTGAGAGGATTCCTAGGTATCACTGGATACTACAGAAGATTTATAAAGCATTATGACAACATTGCTGAGCCTCTTACTGCATTACTTAAAAAGGATGCATTCAGTTGGTCTGCTGAAGCTACTGCTGCATTTCGGGAATTGCGAACGGCTGTTACAACTGCACCTGTTTTAGCTCTTCCTGATTTTTCCAAGCCATTCATATTAGAAACTGATGCTTCTGGAATAGGCATTGGAGCTGTGCTAAGTCAAGGAAAGCATCCAATAGCCTATTTTTCAAAAAAATTGTCACCAAGGATGCAGAAACAATCAGCCTACTCTAGAGAACTATTTGCTATAACAGAAGCCCTAGCAAAGTTCAGGCACTACTTGCTTGGACACCAGTTTACTATTAGAACAGACCAGAAAAGCATACGACACTTGGCAGATCAGACAATCCAAACCCCTGAACAGCAGAATTGGTTGCACAAATTCTTGGGTTTTGATTTCAAAATTGAATACAAACCAGGGGAGGATAACATTGCAACAGATGCTTTATCCAGGTCTTTCTATTTAGCTTGGTCAGAGATAGTTCCTCAATTTTTGCAGCAATTGAGAACTGCCATTTCTAAGGATCCCCATTGGCAATTGGAACTTCAAAATTGTACTTTAAATCAATCTAGTAGCCTTCATATTACTTGCAGAGAGGGTTTGCTTTTTTGGAAGGGAAGGTTGATAATTCCTCAGAATCCTAGTATTATTCAGCAGATTCTACAGGAATATCATGACTCCACAGTGGGTGGGCATTCAGGCATTGCCAGAACTGCAGCAAGAATAAAAAATGAATTCTACTGGCCTAAGATGATGCACGATATCCAAACTTATGTGCAACACTGCTCTATTTGCCAACAAGCTAAACATCTGAACACTCAGCCATCTGGTCT